AATAAATCTAATAATATAAAGAGATTGTGAAGAAAATACATTTCTAGTCTGTGTGTTCAATTCTACAAAAACACGTTCAAAATAGATTTGAAAATAACTTCCTCTTAAGGATTTACATCTAGATTTGAAACGTGTTGATGGTGAAGTGCCAGGTCACCCACTAATCAAGCACACACCGAAAGAGTGTTCTGTAGCAAAACGGAAAGCGAGAAAAAATTGATTGATTAAATAATGGTTTAATAGTATCTTTTATTCTTTTATTGCTGGACATAATGAGATAAGTGACGCGTATTCATAAATGACATGCAAAATATCGTCCCAAAGCAGATACTGACCTTTTTAGCTGTTGAAAAAAGGACTCTTCATATATTTATATATTAAAATAAGTATTAATAGTAATAGTTGAATAAAAAAGTAGCGAAAAATTACTTTTATAAAAATTGATTTGTAATATGTTATTTTATGGGAGTACATAGTTATTTTTGTTTAAGGAGTTTATTTTCTTTTTAAAAATAATTAAAGATAAAATAGGAATATGATTTTTTACCAGTTTTTTAACATATTTTTATAGATTTTAAAATATAAAAATAAAATTTGTTAATCAAAGAGAAAAAATCACTTTACATATTATTATACAAAAAAGACATTTTTCATTTATTTAAATAAAATATCGTATTCTAATTTTGTTAATGAATGAAATGACTAAAAGAAATAACCAAAATAATATTTGAAAGGAAACAAGTAAAAGGGAAAACATTAATATACATAGGTCACAAAGTATATAAAAATACAAATATTGGGATTGAAAAAATTAATTTGGTTAAAAGTGAAAAATATAACTCTTAATTAATTTGGTCAAATAAAGATTAATTAAAAAATAAATTGAAGGGTTCCGAAATTCAAAAGATTACTTTTGGATATAACCACAATAAATTTAACAGTGTTTTATTCGACCTCAAGATATGTTCATATTATCTTCGGGCCTACATAATAGTGGTTAGTGACACTGATACCTCTCATGTATTCCTATAAATTAATAGAGTTTGGGTTCTTGAGTGTTCAAAGCAAAAATCATCTTCAATTTAATATACTAGAAAACGAAGCATGTCTATGGTACCATCATCATCACTTCCTGTTTTCCCCCACGATGCCAAACCCAACTCAAACTTCACTCGACAAATTGCAGCTTTTCATCCTTCCATTTGGGGGGATTATTTCCTTTCATATGATTCTACTTTTCATGTAAGTGCACACAACCATTCATGTCTAATCTTACTTTTTAGATTTACTTTCATTTACTTATGTTTTGTTTTGGAATAATTTTAGTAGTCTATTACTAACTATATGAATTAAATACAGTATTTCGTGGTAACATAGTCAAATTTCATAAAAGGAAATATTATATTTATAACAACAGTTGTTTACTTTATGTATTTCACTTTTTCCAAAATCAACACAATTTTCTCACGCTGGAGTTTTCATAACCACATGCAGGAAGATGATAGCGACATCCAACAAGTTACAAAATTAAAAGAATATGTGAGGAAGATTATTGTCTCTCCTAGGCCTGTTTTTAAGGATATCCTCTTTAAATTAAACATCATCAACTCAGTCCAACGTTTGGGTGTTTCTTATCATTTTGAACATGAAATTGATGAGGCATTGCATCAAATTTATGAGATTTCAACAAAGGAGAACAATATAATAAGTTACAATGATGATCTTCATCATCTCGCTTTACTCTTCCGGTTGCTTAGACAGCAAGGATATCGTATTTCGTCGGGTATATGACTTTGCCACTATTACACCAAATTTACACTCTAACAATCTAATATTTGTCGTAACTCACCATGTTTATCTTCTATTCCTCATTTGTGTTCACTCTTTTCATTACCTCACTGTCACCTCGTTTTGGTCTAGAGCTGTCATATAGCTAGTGAAGTTTAAGAAAAAATATGTCCTAACCATTTTGTATATAAAGGAAAATAAACATGTATTATAATTTGAAACACTATAAAAAATGAAAAGAAATACGAAGCATATTTACATTTTTTTTTTCTTTTTTATAAATTCATATAAAACATTTATTCAAAAAGACCCTAAACGGTTTCGGAATAGATTTTCCTGTTGTATAGCATCAAGAATATATTTAAATACACATATATCTTGAAATTTAACAAGTTGTTTACTTGGAAGACAGATGTATTTTGCCAATTTAAGGACAAAGCAGGAAAGTTTAAGGAAAGCATTGTGAATGACGTAGAAGGAATGCTGAGCTTGTATGAAGCATCCCAATTAAGATTCCATGGAGAAGAGATACTGGAAGAGGCATAAAGTTTCACTCTCATTGAGTTAACCAAGTCATTAACTACCAAATTAAGCCCATTTCTTTCTGGGTTAGTGCACCATAGCATAGGACAAGCACTTCGCAAGGGAATGCCTAGGTTGGAAGCAAGATATTATATATCTTTCTACCAACAAGATCCCTCACATAATCAATGTTTGTTAACCTTTGCAAAACTAGATTTTAATATGTTGCAGAAGCTCCATCAAAAAGAAGTCAGCAGCGTGACCAAGTAATATTTTCCTCCAAAATTTACATTTTATTATTAAATGAAATGTAAATAAATAAATCCAAGCCTAAGACTTCTTTGAGAAATTAATTAGGAATTTTTTTGTTCAGGTGGTGGGTTAAAGATTTGAATGTCTCGACCAATTTTCCGTTTGTACGTGATAGGATTGTGGAAGGTTGCTTTTGGATTGTTGGAGTCTATTATGAGCCGCAGTATTGTCTAGCTAGAATAATACTGAGTAAAGTAGTTGCCATGATATCCATAATTGATGATGTGTATGATGCCTATGGAACCATTGATGAACTAGAGATTTTCACCAATGCAATAGAAAGGTCAAACAATGCATTTTATTCTTCTGAATCTTTCTTCAATTTAGTATCCTTTTAATCTTATTCTTTTAATTAAAGTAAACTTCCCAATGATTAGCAGGTGGGATATCTCCTCATTGGTTGATCTCCCGGAATATATGAAATTATGTTATAAGGCACTTTTGGATATTTTTGAAGAAACAGAGCAGCAGTTGAGCATGCAAGGAAAAGAATACTTCGTCAAGTATTCTAAAAACGAAGTATGGTTAAGTGTTTTATTTTATTTTTTAAATTGTTCCTTTTAAAACATTAACTAGAAATTAAAAAATAATTATTAGGTAGATATTTGGTTATAATATTTTGGGTTTTGAAAAATATCTATCTATTTAATAGTTTTGAATGGATGGAAGACTCAAAAAACAAGTCTTTAATTATGTAGAATTAAAAGGTTCATAAAAATATGTTTCTCTTCTTCTATTACCAACGTTACCTACGAATATGACCACTAAATGTCGTACGACATCATCGTATTCATTAAATTAGTTCATCATCCCTCCGTATAACGATTCTTGGGATCGCAGCATATCACGTGACTTAATTTGACCTTTCATGAAAATGGTACAGTGATGATCCCTAATAATGTAGGAAAAGATTATTGTAAGCAACAAAAATACCAAACAAATTTCTTATGATATATTTTGTATTTGTAATTTATAGGTGAAAAGATTAATCCAAGCATACCTTAGTGAGTCAAGATGGTTTCATACAAACCACACACCAACAGTAGAAGAGTATATGAAAGTTGCAACTGTGACAAGCACTTATGCTATGTTGACAACTGTATCTTTCTTGGGCATGGAAGACACAACAGAGGAGGTCCTCATATGGGCAACGAGTCACCCAAAAATTATTGAAGCTGCTTCAATTATTTCTAGGCTCATGGATGACATTGTTGGAAGTGAGGTATATCTTAGACTACCCTTATCCTTTTCAACACGTGCATTCACTAAAAAATGGAATAGAGAAAGTTAAACATTTTTATTGAAAACCACCCCTAATCATAACAAGTTTATCTAAAGATGTAATAAGATTGTTCTCATTCTTATGCTGAATGCTGCTAGCTTTATATATGGAACGCAAACACATTTTGTTTTTAAACACACGTAGATGGAAAACCTTTAATTTAATAATTGTAGAAAGTAGGAGAACAAGATTAAATAGTGCTTTTTTTTATTAAATATGTATTGGACCCATTATTAGTTATCAGATTTTGTTACATTCTTTGATTCTAATAATTTATTTTATTTCAATTTTGGTCTTGAAAAAAGTTCATATAGCATTTTAAATAATGAAACAGAGTGGTTTTAGATAATAATATTTAGGAAAAAAGCAATTTAGATAATTGTCACCAATAAAAATCTATTTTAAGTACAAATTTCTTTTATATTTAGTTATTTGGGATTTAGGTTAAATTTGTTTATTTGATATGTATGTAAGTTTGAGCATGAAAGAGGCACGTTGTGTCAGCGTAGATTGCTATATGAACAATATAATAGTTCAAGGCAAAATGCGATTAAAGAACTGCATAAGTTGGTGGAGAGTGGTTGGAAGGATATTAATGAGGAATGTCTTAATCCTACTCAAGTACCAATGAAGTTTCTCATGCGTGTTCTCAACCTTGCACGAATGATGAACGTCCTTTACAAAGAACAAGATAATTATACACATTCGGAGGAATAATGAAGGATTATATCAAAGCTTTACTAGTTAATAAGGTGCCCTTGCAAATAAGCTAAGGCTTATTTCTTTCATGTATTGGATTTACTATTTCTTGAATTTCTATAATATTATGATGAATTATCCTTGGCTTAATAATTATCTTTTCAAAAGCATCAATTAAAATAATTAATCTAAAATATCTGTTTTCGAGAGTAAATAGATTCTATCATCACTCTATATAAACATTAAACAACTTGCTTTGATAGGTAACATAAAAAAAAAATAATAATTAACAAAACTATTTCCAAAAACACATATTACTTCCTTGTGTAACTCTTGTACTTAAAGTGAAAAACGATTTCCAAGAGTCATGAGGACGTGAAAAAGCAGGTTAGAAGCTTAGAAATACTTCAAAGCTTAAGTTAAAATCTATGAAATATTATTATAGGCCAAGTTAGCATATGCTAAAACTAGATAATGCAATTATAGCAACATTTTCAACATTCGCATAGCCAACCGAAAAGATGTAGAAAAACTTTGTAACCAACTCAGATACTACATGTTTCGGATGTGAGGGCTGTGCTGTTCCAAACCTCCAACGTCCTCCTGTCAATTTGTCCTGATAGCTGATCTTCTGTTCTGATTCTCAGTTCTTTTTCACAATCCCGAGGGGTGGAGACCTGCAAAAGATTCTCCGATGCCAAAGTCAGTCTCAGAGCAATGGCTTTTCTCAGGGATAGCAATAAATGTGCATTCAATGTAACCTATCTACCACTCACCGTGGACCTGTATATATAGTTTTCGCTATGGGCTTGGGATTAGTGAAAAGTTAATCACGGCCCAAAACAGCCCAATAGCTTCTAACTTCTACTTACCTTCAAACCATGTTACTTTACCTTAAGCCACGTTGATTAGTGTTGTGGCGGGTGTGGGTGTCCGCCCATGTGGTATGGGCGTCCGCCTCACACGCATGGAGCTCGGGTGCTAGCGTCTCATCCGCCCGTGTAGTATGGGCGTCCGCCCGTATGGACTCTTCCGTACGGCGTCCGGCTTTGCTGGCAACGTCCGCCCATGTGATATGGGCGTCCGCCCATGTGATATGGGCGTCCGCCCACGCGGGTTGACTCTTCCGTACGACGTCCGGCCCTTGCGGATACACAAGCCCCCCAAGTCCTAGTGCACGTAGTGGACGTAGGACTTTGAGTAACCTAACAAACAAGAAAAGATTTGACGCAGTGGCCGTCGTGCAGGGTTGTTATGTGATGGTGGAATTCCATGTGAGTCCTTCAAAGTTTTTCTTACAAACAGAGGTGCTGCCCAGCTGGTAGGTCTTTCTCTTTGCTATAAGAGGGGTAGGAGAGTTTATACCGGGTCTAGGTTCAATCCTTGACCTTTGTCCAGTTGGGCGGACGGGCATTTATGGCATACCTTCCACTTTGATGTATGAGCACCTCTGCCACGATTGCGTATAGGTGTTGTCGTTTACCGGTTGTAGTGGGCTCCGTGACATCCATTGGGCGGACGTTCGTGTGGGTCCGTCCGTCCGTACGTCGTCCGGCACTCTCTGGTACGCCAATCCTAAGAGAAGAGGTGAGCCTGAGGCAGTAGTAGTAAGCGTGGTGCTATGACCTTTTTCGAATCGAATAATGGAATATGTGGTGCCCGGCGCTTGATAGTATAGGAGAGTTTATACCGGTTCTAGGTTTAATCTCTAACATTTATCCAATTGGGCGAACGGTCACCGAACAGCCGGACGGTCCTTTCGTACGGCGCCCGGCTCCCTCTGGTACACAAGCCCCCCAAGTCCTAGTGCACGTAGTGCACGTAGGATTTTGAGTACGGCGTGTGTTGGGCCAGGAATCCGCTATTGGGCTATATCCAGTGGGCTTTTCAATTTGGATTTTAGGCGGAAAAACACGTGGCGCGTTCCCATTGACGGAAGGCCAAGCGTCGCCGAATCTGGAGCGTTGGTCGTGCTAGATCTGGACGGCTCAGACGCGTTCAACGGTTATTAAATTTTTCCTATAAATAGCGGATTAGGCGAGGTCATTTTCACTTATCTCTTATCCAAGATTTCAAATTCTTTTTCCCTCAGGTAATAAATGGCATCTATGTCCATTGAGTCAGGTTCTGGGTCGTCGGGCGGAGTCCGGGAGGGGTCGGCGAGGGGCGACAGCGGCGATTCTCTCAGCTCGGTTTCCTCTCATTTTCTGGAGGAGGAGGTTGAGTCTTCCGGGGCGGACCATGAGCTACCGGTTTCGGCGGGTGACCGGATCTTCCGTGGTGTGCCTCTGTTCCTGCTCAAGGGCGGTATCCGTATAGTCGGGTCTCCCTTCGAGCCACACGGTCAGGGGGCGGTGGAGTATGAGTGGGTTCCTCATGACCCCAACCTGTATGCTTCCTGTTACGCTCTCCGCAAGGAGTTGGAATGGAGGGTCCGCCGTACCCATATCGTTCGGGATATGGAGGACTCGAAGTTGATTCGTGCCGGGGTGAGTCTGTTAAATGAGAGGGTCTTCCATGATGGGAGGTCGAGCCCATACGACTTTTTCTTCATGTATGTGACCTTCTTCACCCATCTTTTCATCCGGGTGCCCTTTACTAAATTTCAAACGGCTATTCTTCGGGAAGTTAATGTGGCTCCCACGCAGCTGCACCCCAACTCATGGGCGGCCGTGCAGGCGTTTCTGGCAATGTGTTTGGCCGTGGGCGTTACTCCCACCATCCCGGTCTTCTTTTATTATTTCGAAGTCCGCCCTTCTCCCTCGGGTGGTTGGGTTTCTTTTACGTCGGTTCGGGACAGAACGCTTTTCCGCCCCTTTTCCGATTCCTTCAAAAATTTCAAGCAACACTACTTCAAAATAATCTTTGACAAAGCCGGCCTCCACGAATTTTCTGATGAAGAAGGGAGGCCGTTGTTCCCCTTTTATTGGACGAGGGAGCCTCAACGAATAAAGGCGACTTCTATAGGAGCTTTGACAGCACCCGAGCTAGAGGTCGTTCGCACCATTAACACCCTCCCCCGCCGGATTTCCGCCCGTCATTTGGTCGAATGCCTTAGTCTCGAGGATTGTGGACCAAAGGCGTTCGGTATGGTTTTGTCACATAGGGTGTGTTTGGTTTTCGTATACTGACGTTAATTTTTCTGAATTGTTTTATTTTTTGCAGAGCTTATGACGACTCCGGGTCCCCGCAAATCCAACTTCATTGCTGCCCGGAAGAAGTCCGGGGCCAGTTCGTCGACCGCTCGGCCGACCAGCGTCCCGAACGTACCCCGTCCTCCTCCTGCCGGGCGAGCTTCTTCGGGCGGACGCCGCCCCACAGTACGCGTATCCCCGAAGGTGGGAGCCCCTCCTGTCGTTGAGACTGGGGGTTCAAACATCCAGGTGCCGCCTCCCAACCCTCAACCGGAAGTGGCGGCCGCCTAAGCAGATCCGCTGTCTGAGGCGGCCACTATTTCTGCCGATCTCTCTACTCGGAAGAGAAAAGACCACGCCGCGGAGGGGCGTAAAGAGAAGGAGGGGTCCTCGTCTCGGTCTGCTTCGAAGAAGGCTCGAAAGAGTAAAGACAAGGATCGTGGGAAAGCCCCTGCCGTTCCTCTGCCAGGCGGAATCTTCAGCCCGGAATTCAGCATGAGTGACCGGGCCAAGTTCCACATGAGCTCCTCCCAAAGGGCGCTCATTGAGCCTCTCACCGAGCTGGAGCTGACCAACGCCATGTTGGAGATGTCTACCCGGACGTCCGCCCTGGCGTGGTATCTTAAGGAGTTTGCTGACCGCCCTGGGGTGGCGGAGCTGCGTGCCGAGCTCGACAAAGAGAAGAAAAATGCGGCCTCCCTTCAGTCTACCTTGGAGGAGATGGTTCTCAACCAAGAGGACTACGACAAGAAGATCGAGCAGTTGGAGGCCGATCTTGAGAAGACAAAGAAAGAAGCCGCCGAGGGTTTGGCAGCCGCCCGGGGCGAGCTGGAGCGCGCAACGGAAGAAAGCCGCCAGCTGAGGGCGGATGTGGCCCGCCTAAAGGAGGCCGAAGCAGAGCGTGCCAAGGCGAACGAGGTTCTTTCTCATTACCTTGCCAAGGCTAAGGAGAAGGTTGCTGAGTTGGAGTCGACCGTCATGTTTGAGCATGAGGAAGGCTTCAACAAAGCTCTCCGCCAAGTGACCCTTTTGGCGGGCGTCCAAGATCCTTTTAGTCTTGGCGTGGATATCGAGAAGGACGTTGTGGATGGCGTCCTGGTGGATTTGATGGCGGCCGAGGAAGATGAGCCGGCTGTTGAGGCCGATGCTGGGGGAGATAGTTAGGTGTTTATTTTCTTTAACTTTTTGATGTGTATGTTGTGGCCGTCCGTCCAACGTCTTGGATTGTCCAGAGGTTGGCCGGACGGTCCTTTTGTAAATCTGGGCGCCTTTTTAGCGCAAATGATTAATACACAGTGACCTTTTTAGTTCCGTGCATTTCTTTATATACGTCATTATTCTTTCAATGCTAACTTTTCTTTAAGTTAATTGTCCGGCCCTGGCGGAGATTTTCCGAGGCGGACAGTAGCGTTTAGCTTTAGTTTCTTACTTCGTTTTTTATCCGAGTTTGCCGGATGGCCTTTTGCTTCGTCGCCCAACCAAGTTGAGAGTTGTCCTCATCGAGACACTCACCGACTTGGAGTTTAGGAGGGCCGGATGGCCTTTTGCTTCGTCGCCCAACCAAGTTGAGAGTTGTCCTCATCGAGACACTCACCGACTTGGAGTTTAGGAGGGCGGACGATTCTTGCGTTGTGTCGCCCAACCAAGCTGAGAGTTGTTCTCGTTGGAACACTCTTCGACCAGCTTGGAGTTTGGTAGGGCGGACGGTCCTTTCGTTGTGTCGCCCAACCAAGCTGAGAGTTGTTCTCGTTGGAACACTCTTTGACCAGCTTGGAGTTTGGTAGGGCGGACGGTCCTTTCGTTGTGTCGCCCAACCAAGCTGAAAGTTGTTCTCGTTGGAACTCTCTTTGACCAGGTTGGAGTTTGGTAGGGCGGACGGTCCTTCGAGCCGAGAGTTGCGCTGAAATACCTTTTCTATTAAATTTCTGCAAGATGAAGCTAGCTTCATAGGAGAAAATAGATATCTTGATTCATTGATTATGGGAGTACA